TACCGGTCATCCAGGTACTCTTATTTTAAACGTCCCTCTCTCTTCGTAATGTTTCGTGATTTTATTCGGAACCTCTCCTTTCAAGCGTCATATGACAAATGGAAGATCTCTTACAGATTTACATATCTTTAATAATATTCAAAGTAATAATCATAGAATAGTTATTTCTTAAACGCGGCAGCTCTAAAAAATCTCAGCCATCGGTATTACAATCTTTCGACTCTTCTCCCTCCGTTACACCTTTCACCATAAATCATAAATACACCATTATTTATTACCGTTTCAATTTCACCCACGTAGAATATGTCCATTGTTTTTTACGATACATACTCATATATAAAATATAGGCATGCGTTCTGAATGCGACTACGAGTAAAAAAAAATAACATCTCTTGGCTCCATACTCTTTTAAATAAAGCAAAAGAGGCCAGAAAGACATGTCGTTAAAACAATTGACTATGTTTCCGAACGTTTTAACGTATCTGTCAAATGAAAACGTTCTATTTTCAAATCTTAGTCCTGCGTCATAAGGTCGAGTTTTGACAGTTGCTTGTAGGCCATAGAGCAGTTCGGTGCGCGGGAAACGAAAGCGGCTGCATATTTATGAAGCGGAATCGATTTTTAAATGAGCCAATGAGGAGGCGCTATTTGAGAGGCGGGAAACATTCGCTCCACCCAGCGGCTGCTGTCAGATCAGTCTCGCGGGCTTTTTTGCTCATTCGCTCAGCGTCCACTAACGTGAACGGACGTCGGGGAAAGGGAAAGTTGATTCGTTCGCTACAGTGTTTTTTGTTACCTTTTATGCACTATTAACTTTAGAGTATATAAAAGTAATTATTTTACCATCAATTTAAATTTTTTTCCAAACAAAAACCTTTTATTCCTATTACTTTACTAAATTATGAATTCTAGAAATACTAAAATATTTGGAGTCTATAACAGGAATGGCGAACTAATGGCACGCGACATTTTGGTACCATTACAGATTACAAAAATTATTATATATATAATTTTTATTAAGAAAAATGTTTTTAAGTAGGTATTATACAAGGTGTAGACACGTGTGATACGCTATGACACGTTGAAACTAATCACAAAGGCAAAATTATTTAACGCGTTAACTGCCATGTCGGACTCTATGACCGACAAGCTAATGTTTCAATCAGGCCGCGTCGGACTATATGTGTCCGACAAGCCATACTTCCATTCAACACCTCGCTGTGGCTTGTCGGACGCTTTTTAATCGAATTGTTTGTATACAGCGTGACCCGCAAGGCCCCATAAAGCTTATAAACAGCGAGACAATTTTTTTCGTTTTTCGAAAAATCATTCTTGCAGCTATCGTGTTAATGACATTATGACCAAATTTAATATTTCTTTACAAAAATTACTAATTAAAAACTATAAAGATTCGATATCTGTAGTCTATAGTGGATAAGAGCGTAGATAATATTTTTCTAGGCACAAAATAAAAGTAATTTATCCAAAAAGGATATTATTATCTTTCTATTGCTATAATTAACTAAACAAAAAAAACAATATGTTTGGAACACATTTTTCATTAGAAGAAACTCGCGGAAACACATTTGAAGTAAGGAAGTAACTTCCTCAGGAATGAAACAAGGCTCTGTCAACTGATTATAAACTTGACATTTACAGTTTACAATATTCTCAGTCAAATATCAATCAATATTTGAAGACAGGCGTGAAGTGGAAGCAATTCCGCGTTTCGTCTGATGAGTGTTTCCTGGAGGCCTAATTTAGTCCTCTTTCCCTTCCCACCCTTTTTCTTATAAGGCAAGGATGGGATGTGGAAGTGGACTTTCCGGATGAGAGGATGCATGGGAATCGAAAATATTTTCTTTCTGTGCATCCTCTCCTCCGTCGATTAAAGGTAGGCAACGCATATGCAGATTTCAAGTGGCCGCTCGCTCGTTTGCCACTTTATGATATAAAAAAAAGTCAAATTATAAACTAGTACTCAGTATTGTTTGCATTGTTTCATATCGATGTTAGGTATACTAGTTTCAGTACAACATAGTAATTAAAAAAATAACATGACATACTGTCAGTTATAATTTAAAATTGTAGCTAGTTGAACAATTAAACAGATTGCGATCATGCATAGATTAAAACTACATACAAATTGTTAAAATCTGACGTATAAGTAATTCCTTAATGTTGGTAGTTCTGTTTAAATGAACCATAGTAAATCTCACGATAAAGAAACTCTTGACGTTTGACATCGTAATTATGTTTACTTTTAATTAATATTCATTCTATTAATTTGATTAATCAAAACTCTTCAAATTATATTCATATTGAAATTAATTATTCAACATGTGTGGTAAAACGAGAGATAAGTCTAGATATTTTTTTTCAATACTTTTTATAGTTTGGTACTAAGTTTATTAGAGCGTCGGTGGCTCAGGGGTCACCTGACCTGGGTTCGAATCCCGCAATGTACCAATGTGTGTTCCGATTTACATATGTACATTTATCCGACGTTCTTACGGTGAAGGAAAACATCGTGATGCAACCTGCATATATGTAAGAAGAAATTCAAAGATCTGTGTGAAGTCAACCAACCTGCACTTGACCAGTGTGGTTGACTATGGCCTAATCACCCTTAACTGAGGTTAGGCTTCGAGCCCCTCAGTGGGGACGAATAGTGAGCTGATGATGATGACTTAGTTTATTTAGTACTGGGATGGAAGAGAATCGATATTAAGTGCATGCTCTTATATTATTCTGCTCGAATGCAAACAGTACAAAAATAAGGGACATTTTATTTTTTAAAAGAAAACGAATGTAGGCAAAGATAATTTAGTCTGCGTCCACAATCCATATGCACCGTACCGGTGGAATGTCTTTGCCCGTTTAAGTTTTTTTTTTCCGGCGTTCCTTTTTTAAAATATTCAAATCGAATCACCCAAATTAAGTAGCCATAAACGGAATCAGCTTCCAAATTTGAATATTTCATTCTCACACGAGCGCGCGTTTTGTTGTTCGATTTTATTTGTGTGTGTTCATATTTACGGGATACATTTTAATGTGTGAGTGGATTAGTGATGTCAATTATTTAACGTTTATCGGTTTACTCGAATCAATTTTGTATATATAGCACTAGTAAAAATTAAATTGATATCGCAAATAAAAAGAGATTGCCAAAAATATAACAGAATTTTTATTATTTTTATAACTTCATTCATATTTTCCGAGTATCAGTTTAGTCGATAAGCTTTATTACTTCAGTAAATTTTTATTGATTAAGGAAATGAACGTCATAATATTATCAAATGTAGTAAATGCAATAATGGGTAAATAATCTACAAACTAATAACTGTTAGATTCAGGTTTTAAAATGTCGAAAGACGAAAAAATTTAAATTCGATATCGATAAACTTGTAACTAGTGAATCCCTAAACCTTTTGTGGTAGCGCGCCGCGTTGATAAGGTAACATTTTAAATTAGTAGGAGAAGAGAAAAAATATTATAAAAATGTATTTTTTATTTATATTTTATCACGCGAACACAAAACGAGTAGCCGCCTGCTACCAGCACGGTACCGATATAAATTATATCATTTTTCACTGCGACAACCCGAACGGACGTAAAAAATGACGCTCCATTCAGTTCCAAGTTTGAAAGTTTCGCCGCGCTTTTTATACGTTTCCGGACGATGGGATTCCATTATTAAATATCGAAACGTTAAACCGACGTTTGATAATAACGTTAAAACACATTTACATTGCGTGCTGCATAAGTGCATATAGCTTCGTATAACAAACAAAAGGAGCGATGTATTCAAAGTATTTGTAAATAATCTAATAATTATAAACACAATTGATGACCTCGCGTTGACTTTTTTACGATTGCCCTCAAGTCCATACCGTACCGGATTCTATGGTCAGTAATAATATTGGAATTTATAATTGTGTCTCAGCGCCCATTAGTCAAAAAGGTCTGTGAACTTAGAAATGGGTCGAAACTTTTTTTCTATTGAAACTATTTAAGGGTACTTTGATTATCTATGACGTAATCATTGTCATTTCTGACAGGGCGTAAAAATTGTTAGGGAAATATTACGTACTAGTTGTCTCACTCGACTCCGATTGTATGGTATTAAATAAAACCTTAATAAGTAGCCTATGTGTTCTTACAGACTATGTTCTATATCTGTGCCAAATTTTATTAGAATCCGTTGATCCGTTCCGGATATATCTTCTAGCAAACATCCATCCATCCAAACATTCGCATTTATAAGATTAGTAAGAAGTAAGATTTTCAACACGTAAGTAATGTCATATATTGGTTACTGTCCCTTAGGGGATGCCTAAGTGACCACTTATAATACGTTTTAATTCTACGGTATTAAAGTGAGGAATAAACGTAATGCTGATATCATTAGGACCACACCGCTTGAACGTAAAGTTATAATTTTAATGGAGGTGGCATATTTTTTGATATAAAATATTATTTTTATTCTAAAAGCTTAACATATACAGTTCCTGAATTAACTACAAGTTTTCTCTGGTAATAGCGTGTCTATTTATCTATAACATATTTAATCGTTATCGTCAAACGTAAGTCAATTTGACTGTTTTTTTTTAGTGGTTTTATATATAGATGCGGCATAATAACTTTTATTATGCAGTGTTTAGTAAATTAATGATTTCTAGATCCTTGATAAAGTCCTGAGCATCCGCCGCGTTTACATACAAAGTGAACCGACAAAAATATCGTAAATCTACATGCGACGCCATATTGAAAAAAGAATAATTTCGACTGAAATATATTTGAGTTGCGTCGAGAGCCGACAGCAAGCGGTCTGAGTATGATCACGCGTTTTAACAATATGGTCAATAAAATGATTTTGGTATTTTAGAAAAAAACTTTTTTTTTTAATTTTTCCAAAAGTATTTTTGAAAAAAAAACATCTTTCCTTACGGTTGTAAAAATTAGTGTAAACACGGCAATATTAATATAAACAAACCTACCTTATTTTGGTATAGGCTTCAAATCCACGAACATCTTCAAAATCGACGTTTGTTTGATTTGGTTGGCTTTACAACTAATGTAAACAGTGTTTCTTGTTTATAAACTTGAAATTTTCAAATATTTTTCAGTAAAAATCACTTTCGAAAATTTGCCATTGATTCGCGGCAAAAAAGATGACGCAACTGATTTCACAGATGACACATTGATGTTGCCATTGTACAAAATGAAAAACAAAAGACACAAAGTTTTCCTTTCTACGTTGTATAAGATTCGGAGAAATTCGGCATTATGTTTGTAAACGATGAAATCATTCGTAAAACTTGTCTTTTTAAATATAACAAAATAAAATGCCGTCGCCTAATTTAATTTGATCGGCCAAATTTCCAAATTAATCTTTTAACTATTCACACGAATAAATGAATTTTATTCTCCTTCGATTTCTCGGTGCAAAGACATTCAAGATGGCGGATCATATCGTATCAGTTTTAATTTTCTTAAATTATTAATTAAGACAATATCTAATATAAAGCTAAGTTCATACTATTTATTATAATAGAATTGTTAAATTTGAAAAAGGAATAACTTTTTCTTTCTATAGGAATAAAGACACAAATGAACTATTGACCTTGTCAAGAGCAGGAATAGCTTGCTTGGGGGTAAAAATTTATATGAGTCTAAGCCTTAATCGACATAACATAGGGTATTAAGGCTTATTTGCAATTTTCGCACCAGTGGAAATATGACGCGACCCAAAACAAAAGGCAATCCCATGTAACTAGAACCTCACGGCCAATGGCTAATTGGAAATTAAATCTTAAGAAAAATGACCAAATAACAAAGTTCTTGGTGTCGGAGTTAGAAAAATGACCAACTTAAAATCAAATTATGTTTAAAAAATTGGTAGTAAAATTTAATATCTATAAATTATTAATTTATAATTACGTTTAAGTATACGTAGACCTTAACAAGCGCTTTCTTATAAATATATTTAAAAAAAAAAGTCGATCGTAAATAAGACGCAACTAGTTGATTGACGTCGGCATTTAATTTTTTACTATGGTCACATTTTGTGTGAACGAATCGAGCTGTCAAAATAAAATTGATAAATTTATTAGCGCTAAAATAAGAAGCTATAAAATAGTAAATATGTAAATTGTATCGGGTGTTGAAATCACATGTAATATTATTTTATTGATTTTCACAAAGAAATCGTTTATGTTACGGAATTTTGATTACAAAATACAAAATATTTTACTAAAATATTAATACTAGTTTTATTAATTAATGATGTTTAATACATATTAAGTTAACAATTAATTTAGATTAAAAAAATGATTTTAAAACGTATGTTCAAAATGACATTACAGCTTTTTAAGGCAAAGGCTACTTACATATTCTGCCACCAATTTTTTTTAATTAAAAATAACTGGCCATAGTTAGCTGTTTAAATTAAAATGGCTCGAAGAATGAATGCGGTAACAGAACACGCCAGTCAGAATACCGTTAGCACGATGTTGATGTTTTAAATTAATTTTTTGGTCGCTAATAATATTTCTTATTTTTGTTAATGTGTAAAAATAGCTATATTTCGTATAATGTAACTAGTACAAATTTAATATCACATTGTTATGAATTAAAATTTAATATGTTTATTCATGTAGTTATTATTTAATAGTTTAATAATATATTAGTGACGGTAAAGTTCTTTTCAAATATCTTAGAGGCACAAGGTCATCCCCGCATCCCGCTACACTTAAAATTGTTCTCTGCAACTACTCGCGTCAAATTAAGAGCCGCGTAGATATCTAAAAACTACTATATTTACTAGAATAATGTATAATTGTAAATTAAAATATTATATACATACTTTAAGACATTATTAGCTAGAATCCTTTGCCGCGAATGGCGCGCTTTCGTTACAAAGTCAAGTGTCAGAACGATTAGTGAGGGGACATAAACGTCGACATTTTAGTAAGGCTAGTGTTGTGCCAGTACATCGGCACAATCGGATTTTCTTCCTAACAATACTTAAAATAAAGAAATAGTGAAAAGAGAGATATTTTGTAATTTGGAGCAAAACAATAATTTTGCAATCTGAGCTTCAGTCTTTAGGTCAAAACTGAATTTCTAATAATATAACCAAAAAAACTTAATATAACCTACAAATATAATAGAAAAGTTATTTTACCTGTGTTAAGAACTAATCAATGAGTTGTCTCTTATTGTATTGGCTAATGTTTAAAACAAAAGCCATATAATATTTAAAAAAAATGTCATTAGCATATTTGAAAAAGTTCCATTCTTTTTACGGTAACCGTTTTTTTCACCGCATTTTGTTTTCCAGCTACTGCTATTGTTGTTCATAGTGAATAAAAAAAACCTAATGTCATTCTTTGAATTTGACACTTGTTCATTGTGTGTGTATGAGAGTTTTGTGTACTTTCTTTCATTAAAACTTGTTATATTTTTAAAATAATAGCAGATTAGTATTATTTCTTGTTGCCAAGGTCATTGTAATTTTTCTAGAATATTAGAGGGTTAGCTTAGTTTAAGCAAAAACAAAAAAATGTGTATACTGGTAATAGCTTGGTGGTTAAAAGTCTAGCTTAGGATTTACCGGTTTTTTATTTCATATTTTATACTAAAAAGTTTCGTAATTTTGTTTTTACTTTACCATATAAAATTCAAAGTATTTGAACATAATTTTTATATCATAAAACACAATTATTAAAGTTTGTTAACTTAATTAAAAATATATTTAATTACAATAATTTTAAAGATAAAATGCTGTTGAAGTTTTTTTTTAAAGCCGTGTGGCGCCGGCACGTGCCTTTGCCCTAAACGCCCCTAAAACAAAGAGCATCACCAAATCATCCGTACTAAACCTGACCACCTACTTAATCACGCCTTTGTTCTCCACAGACTTCGAGTAATTTCTTAGAAAAATGGTACAAGTAAAATTATATAATAAACACAGGCGTTAGTACATTATCTAGTTTTTTCCCTATATTTTTTACCTGAAAAATTGTTTGAGCGCGGCGGGGTGGGGAGGCGAGGCGAGGGGCACAGACGCGCGGCAGTCTCGCCCGAGCCGCGCGCGTGTTCGTATCTATGGCCGACCCGATCGAAAAACGAAATCAACTGCAACTGTTTTGAATTCGTAAATCCATCATAAGACAATGTGTTCTTTATTATAATAATAATTTAAACAATACGACCTAAATAGCAACGAATTAATAAAATTATAAAGACTTATTTGTGATTTGTCAATCAGCAAGGACGTAATTAGGAAATTTATTGTTTTTTTTAGAATAAAGTTCACAGATAAGATATAAGTAACGCAATAATCGTTTTCGTGTCTAGTGATCGATTGGTACTGACGTTTGGTTGAATAGTGCAATTTTTTAAAGTTTTCTTTTCATCGGCTGTGGTGGGTGAACGAGGTTATAACTTTGGATTTTAACATTTTAAAAAGGTAAGTGATCATAAAACTATAGCTTTTCTAAATAACAAAATTTTAGGTTATAATTTTTTTTAATCATTCGCTACGGCCGTCGACATATTTAGTCAACCACAATTAGACTTTTGAAATTATTTATCAATACCTAATATTGCTTTACCCACATTATTAATTTTGTTAAAATAGGTTAGGATGTAACACGCATTTAAAATGTTACTTTACTAAATTAAAAATGTTTAAAAATGATGAAATTTGGTTACGTAATTAAAAACTCGATATTATAGGCCTAATTTTCAACATATTTCATACCGAACTTCTAAAGGGATAGACGAAATATGTGTTTAGTTTAAAATAGGCCTAGGATAAGACCGTTTTTGACAAGTTTAAATTCATTTTGTTTTTTTTAACAGAAATTAAAGGTTAAAATGCCAAAAGCAAAAAGCCCTTGCGTAGTTTTGGCCGTTTAAGGGTTACCGTATAACTGAAACAATATTAAACTTTGGTTTTTAAGATGAAAATCCCTGTATAAAATATATTCTGTTTTTAAAACATAGAGGAATGACGATATGTTTTGTAGAGATATTATTCTCAACAACTAATGATTAGTAAACAGAGACACTGCAAATTAATATATTACAGTGGGATCCGTTTATAATTACATCGAATGGAATTGGCAAAGACGTCATAAGTGGATGTAATATAAAGCGTTTTGTGAATTAAAAAAACCTTTTATGTAAGAGAAACATGCTGTATATGGAATTACGTTATATTATTTTTTCAATTATTCTATTTGGTATTGTAATAAAGAGTATGCTTTTTATTCCGCACGGACGTAGTCGCATCAGCTAGTAAATCTTATTTCTTACTAATATTATAAATGCGAATGTTTAGATAGATGTTTGAAGATATCTCGATCGAAATTTGACATAGACGTAGAACAATCTGGAAGAACACATAGACTACTATTTTTTTAATACCATACAATGCCACCATCATCAAAGCCGAATTAAAAAAATGTAGCAATATTTTATCGTAAGAAATATTTTAAAGACAAGTAGCTATAATTATTATTTTAAATATGCTGTAAATATATTTTTATCAACTGCATTCTTTATCTACAAGATAAGTACGATTTCGTTGGAAATGTTGATAACGAAATATTGATAATTAACAATAAAAAGACCAATTTTATGGCATACTAGCTGTCGCCAGCGACTCCGTCCGCGTGGATATATAAAAAACTTAATTAGTGTAGCCCATGTGTTCTTACAGACTATGTTCTATACGTATGCCAAATTTAATCGAGATCCGTTCAGCTGTTCTGTAGATTTCTTCAAACACCAATCCATTCATATCACATCCATCTAAACATTCGCATTTATAATATTAGTAAGTAAAATAAAAAGTAGCTCTTCAAGGCATACATTCGAAAACATATATAGATTTATTCAACCTATGTTATTATCAATGATTAATTTATCTTTGTAACCATAGAGTTTTTACTATCGTTTTATTTTATAATTATTATAAAAAAAAAATTAACTCCGTCCCGCCAGAATCAAAAAAATTCTTAATCTATGTGTTCTTCCAGACTATGTTCTACATCTATGACAAATTTTAGTGAGAATGATGGAGCTGATCTAGAGATACATTCTAACAAACATCCATACAAACATTCGCATTTATAATATTAGTAAGATTATAATAGGACATTAGATTTTCATACATATAAACAGAAATGCCCTTAAAAACTACCCTCTTATCATTCGGGTAAAAATTAGTCGTATATAGCGGCGTAATAAATTTCTCATTGTATTCAAGGGACTTGAGACCCCCGGGCGCTTACCGCCTCTCTTGTCAAGTTTCGGGGGTACAAAACACCCCTAAGTTTAAGAGGCGTGGCTCAACACGACACGCCCCAATTTGGGGGTTGTAATTTATGATTTTCAAACCCCGGTATGGTTTGATATATTGTTGTTTATATTTGTAGGGTCATTGCATAGTTCTTTTTTAAACTATTGTTGATATATACCTTAGGTACCTTTAATGTACCTACTTATGTACATTAAAGGCTATTGCTACAAACTAAAAAAAAATAAAATAAAATCGATAATAAATTCTAATATATAAAAAAATATTGCGTTTGCTAATAAAATCTACTGAACAGAATTAAAATAAAAAATTGAAATATTTTCTCTTGACTCATACATAACCTAAGCTATTCAACACGACTTCGTCTGCCCGATTGAGAAATACAAACTTAGTAGCAAATGTGCTCCTTCAGACTAAGTTTTACATATATGCCAAATTTCATCGCGGTCGGTTAAACCGTTTTGGAAATACGTATAAACATCGATATATCCATCCAAGCTTTTGATTTTATTATATAGCATTTGCCCTCGATTGCGCTACGTAGAATTAAAATATAAAAAAACCAGCCTATGTGTTCTTTCAGACTTATTCTACATCTATGCCTTTCATTGGGATCCGTTCAGTTGTTCTGGAGATACCTTCTAACAAACATCCATCCATCCAAACTTTCGCATTTACAATATTAGTAAGATGTACGCAAAGTTTTCGTTTTTAATCATTTCATATCAATGTGATCCAGTGGTTAAACATTTTGAAGATAAGACTGATCAATCACTACAATCGAATCATGGGTTTTCATCACCGAAACATCTACAAAAACATGTTATCTTAGCTTCCACTGACAGATACATGGATAGGTTATTCCTTGGAAATTACAGCTGCTGCTTTGTTCTGACTTTGTTACTTCGAATCGTCACCATTACTGCCCACCGCAATCATTAACTAAAAAAATGAAAATCAAAGAGGCACAAAGTACCACGGTTTATAGCCTGTCCATATAACGTTTTTTTTTTTTTATAAATAAAAGAAAAGATTTTACATTGATAACAATTAGTTTTTAGGGTTCCGTACCTCATAGGAAAAAACGACCCTTTTTCTCAAAAACGCGTGAAGATATCAAGCTGGAACTTAAACCAAATGTTCAAGTCTTCGGTTGCTAGGTGCTGTTAAATAATAAAACTTCTAAGCAAACGCGATCAAAAGATACGACCGTTTATATCGTTAATTTACACAAATTTTCGACATTCGCAAGCGAATCAAGAAATGATGTGATCCGCAGCAGAACGAAAGTAACCGACATTGCCCGAAGAATTGCAAATCTTAAGTGACGATGGGCCGGCCATATCGCCCGCAGAATGGACGGTAGATGGGGCCGCAAAGTCCTAGAGTGGCGGCCACGGACAGGTCGACGCAGCGTGGGCAGGCCTCCCGCAAGATGGACCGATGACCTGGTCAAGGTTGCGGAAGCGTCCTGGATGCAGGTGGCACAAGACCGGTCATCGTTGCGATCTTTGGGGGAGGCCTATGCCCAGCAGTGGGCGTCTCATGGCTGATAGGAAGGAAGGAAGGAAGGGAATCAAAACCTACAGGGTACTTCCCGTGAACTTAGAATTTTGAAATTTGACACGAAGCAACGTCGTAGTGCACAGATAAAGGAAAAATTGCGAAAATTATTTTTTTTAATTATTTTTTAAAGACATCACTATCGTATTTCCAGCCAGTAGTTTGATATACTTTGATAATCATTATTGTCAGATATAACGTACTTCTGACAACTTTAATACTCGATATATCATTTAAAATGATAACGATATTTTAAAAACGGCTATCAGTAACAGTTATTATATTTTCTTTATTTGGAAGAACAAAAAAATAATTATGTTTTAAAAAGACACAACTCTTATGACGCATCAGGTAATAAACAAAGTGCGCTTCCAAGCGATTCAATAGTGAAATTAAAAATTGTATTTCAATTTTCAAAGAGATGCAGACATTCTGGAGATACCTTCTAACATACATCCATCAATCTAAACATTCGATTCTTATTTCATCATCATCAGCTCACTATAAGTTCCAACCGAGTTGCTGGGAGCATACTCTAAATTAGGGGTGATTAGGCCATAGTTAACTAACACTCTGGCCAAGTGCGGGTTAGTTGACTTCACACATATCTTCGAATTTCTTCTCAGATATGTGCAGCATCACAATGCTTTCCTCCACCGTAATAACGTCGGATAAATGTTCCTATGTAAATCGGAAACCGAAAAGCACATTAGTACATGGCGTGATTCGAACCCAGGACCTGCAGATTGCAAGTCGAGTGCTTGAACCGTGAGCCACCGACGCTTTTGTTTATTCGACGATTCAAGATCACAAGAACAGCTCAACGGATCATGAATGTAGGACATAATCTGGAAGAACACATAGACTACTAATTAAGTTTTTAATCCCGAGCAAAGGGTCGAGTGCGACAGCTAATTTATAATATTAGTTTGATAAACAAACTAAATGATGCATTGTACCACCCTTGAATTTCTAATCTCTCGTTTAGATTCAAAGTGGCTGCAAATGGCCAATTAACTGTATGAGGGTTTGCTTAATTAGGTCTGATCAACTATCCTACTTGATATCTGGGTATTAGTGATTTCATTGTTTTTTTTTATGGTTTGCAACGGAGATTTTTATAGACAGAAACATAAAAATAACTAGATTTTTTTTTCTAATTTATAAAGTATTTGTTACTTTTTGAGGAAACTATAGTATGACGTATTAAACACGATAAATAATCTCTTTAAAATAGTGAAATATATATATATCTAACTGTCCACAGCGACTCCATTTGCGCCAATTAAAAAAAAAACCTTAGTAGTCTACGTGTTCTTCCAGACTATGTTCTACAGCTATGCCACAGCGAGATTCGTTGAGACGTTCTGGAGATACCTTCTAACAAACATTCATTTAAACATTCGCATTTATAATATTAGTTAGAGGTAATCTCGTAAGAAGTTTGATTAATAAGAGAAAAGATTTATTTAGAATGATTCTTTTACTATTGGGAAACTACACTATCTTCGGCTAACATAGGCTATTTATTACTGTTTTTTAATTCCGCATTACGCGTCTACCGTAACTGCTATTATAAA